TGTGCCCAAGGGAGCAGCAGGAAGGGAAGTGTGACCACAGAAAGGTGCAAGAGCACTCCTGTGGCCAGGGGAAGAAGATTTTTTTAGATTCATTTAAGTAGTGGTGCACATTGACCTAAACCCCTCTATATCCTTGTGGAGGAAACTGTTGGAGAAATGGGAGGAACATTATTAAATGATGCACTTTCATTTTCGTTCTTGTTTCACATTTGTTTTATTACAGGACCAAATATTTACTAAAACTCAGGTATATCAGAATCAGGCTTTATTTTTTGTCTATAAAGAATCTTATCCAGATCCCCTAATGCTGGGGGTGGGGAAATAGGTGGAAGAATGGAAGGGAGAAGAAGATATATAGGTCAGAGTCCCAGTAGAAGACATTTGCACACTCAAAGAAGAGTTTAATAAGGAGCTGATTTTTTTTCAAGATGTAGAAGGAATAGTACAACAAGAAATAGTGCAATGCCATTGGGCAAACAATTGGGACCCAAGTTGAGAGCAGTTTCCAGAACCACCCCCCAAAAAAAGAGAGACAGAGAACTACTGAAGAAAGGCTAGCTACAAGGATCCTTGGTTTTTCAGAGAAATGTACAGCTAACCTGAATGGCAAACCAGCAGGAGGGCTCCGAGGAATAAATACCCTGACCTTATTCTCCTCCCACTCTTCAATTTCCTAACTTCTCCCATTGACCAAATACAAAAAAAGCCAGAGAGAAAGAGCAAGCCTGCATGTAAGGCAATCTATATTCCAGTCTCTGGGCACAAAGCCGACTGGGGAGGAGAGAGTATGAAAGTGGAGGGCCAGATGGGAATAATCCATCTCTTTGGTCGTCAGCACTCAGTCTTATCTTTTTCCGGGTGAAAATAAAATGTATGTCCCCAACACAGGAAACACATAGGATTTTATCAGCCACCATATCATTATAAAATGATATCAACATAATCATATTCTCACCTGAAATCTAAAATATTAGGCAACCACAAATATTCTTCATATAAGGAGTGGGGGAGAGAAGAAAGGACAATTAATTAATAGAAAGTATATGTACTACAGTTTCCACTTTTATAACTGTTCACAAGACCTAGTACAAACTCCTTCCTCCTCCACCCTTTACCTAGCACCGCAGTTGGAGAGGACTCTTCACATGGCTACGTCATTTAAATCCTCATTCTTGTAGAAATGGAGTGCTTGATGATTCTGCCTCTGGAGCAAATGCAATTCTCCATTAACAAGACTGTTGGGCAAGACGTTATTACAAGACAATGCAGTGAGTCCCCATGGTCCACCTAGCCCTCATGGTACAACAGCAATACAATTTCCCCTTGGTGAGCAGGACCATTCATTTCAACCTTCTCCATCTTGTTTTCCAGTGATGAACATTCTTTGAAAGTAAATTTTAAAGATAAATTCACAGTGGCTATGGTGGCCTCAAGAACAATAAGACCTTAGCCTTCAATCCTTGGTAACTTCATTCTCATTTAAGTGTACTCACTACAGTACTAAAATCTTAACCACTTTTCAGAACAAAATCACCTATCTTTACTTCAACTTCCATATAAAGCACTGTATGCTAATAAGTAATATGGTATAAGTGAGGAACCAGAAGGAAAACGAATTTCCTGATAATGAATATGATCCACAAATAACTCTGATTTATCAGGCAGTCTATGCCAAGTATTGGAGTAATGATCACACATCAGTTTTGTTTGGCCCCAATTCCCCTCTATTCCAATATAATCCATACCTGTTTCCAGGGCTCTTACCCTGGTCTGGCTTCTGTTCTTTGGTTCTTTTCCCTCCTAGATTCACCCTCTACCAGCAGCCAGAGTGATCTTGATAGAACATGAGTCATATCAGGATTTTCCCATGGTGAAATCCCTTCAGTGGCTTCTCATCAGCCTTAGAACAAAATCTAAAGCCTTGCCCTCGCCCACAAAGCCCTACACACCTGGTCCCCAGCAGCTCTCTGGTCACATCTTCAGCTTTGTCCCCAGCCATCCAGCTCCAGTCTCAACTTTCTTGCTATTTCCTGGACACCCCAGACTTGCCCCAACTCAATGCCTATGTCTTGCTATGTCCCCAGTCACGTGGCTCATGCCTGCATTCAGGCGTCTGTCCCTCCAAGAGGCCCTTCCTGGTCTCCCTGTCTAAAGTAATCTCCAGGTTGTATCCCCCATGCCCTTGTGTTTTCTCCTAGCACTCTTCAGGGCATGTATTATATTTCATGTCTTCTGTTGTATTTGCATTTGAATACAATTTCCATGAGGACAGGGGCTTTGTCCATCTGGTATTCATCACCATATCCCATAGCACAAAGTTAGCATTCAATAAGGACACAATGAAAATTAAGTGGATGGCCAAAGTGGATAAATAATTTTGTTTATGTGTAGTAAATAAACTAAAGAAAGATGAAGTGGGATGATGAGGAAGTGAAGGTGGTGAGGAGGGAATTTTTGATAAGGTTGTCAGGATAGGTCTTTCTGACGCAGTAGCACTTGGAGAACCCTGAAAGAAGGGAGGGAATGATTGTGAAATACTTGAGGGAAGGTTGTTTGGGCATAGAACCAGCAGATGTGTGTGAAACTCCTGGGCAGGAGCAAGACTGATGTGTGGCAGGACCAGGAAGGAGGCTGTGTGATTGGAGCATTGTAGGCAGGGGTAAGGATGGTAGACCTTGAGGTTGGGGAGGAGGTGGGGACATGATGAGTGCACTGGATTTCATTCTTGGCATGATGGTAAGCTATTTGGGGAAGTCGGGAAGTGCCCAGTCTAAATTTTTTTTTGCGTTTTTAAAGTTTACTTGTACTATTGGATTGAAAATAAACAGTAGGAGGATATTTAGAAGCTATTAGGATAATGCAGCAGAGAGATAACAGTGACTTAGGGAGGATTTAGCCATTGAGAGAATGAGAAAATTCAACCTTTATTTTGGAGTTAGAGCAGAAGGGATTTCTAACACATACAATGTGGCAAGGCTGGAAGGAGAAGCCAAGGTTGACTCTAGCATAGAAAGGTTCTTCAAGTCTTGTAGAAAAAAACCTTCCAATTTTAGGAATATTCTTTCAATCCTGGCTCATTTTCTAGAATATTGGCTTGGAAAAAAAATACAATATCAAATTTTGCTCAAAACATTGTTGCGCTAGGCCTCTTCGCAAGAGGAGAGGAAAAAGTTCTAAATATCAGTTTATCCCAGAAATCATGATAATTTTATCAACCCCAAAGGTATTCCACATTGTTATCTATCACTCAACATTTGGAGCCCAAACCCAGAAGCATTAACTCCATTTTATCCACAAGTCAGCTTTCTGTTCACCTGCATGCTTACTTCTCACCACCAGGTTTGACCTAATCTGCAGACACTTGGCAAGCCACTCATGAATGATATGTAGAATAATTTCACAAATTCTGATTTTTTTTTTGGGGGGGGGGGAGAAGAAAGCTCTTCAGACAGCTTTCCACTGCCATCTTTTGACTACTGACCTTAACCTTCTATGAAAAGACCTATTAACATGGAATGGCTCTTCAATGACGGTGCCATTTCTCCATTCTTCTAGATAGATCTAGTCCAACCTTTATCTTTGCCTTTGCTCTGTACCATTGTACAGATTGTGAAGATGTACGGCTTTCCCTCTGTGTGTGTTTTATTCTGCTTATCTTCCTCTATGAGAATTCTCTAGCAGTACTAAACTTCACTAGTAAGAAAGGCGCCCCAACATAGTCCCCATTTTCTTATTGCCTCTTTACAGGAAGACTGAAGAATGCCCTCCCTAATGGGCTTGACCTAGAAATAAACCAGGTCCTCTACCACAAGAGAGGCTGATATGTATTTCTCCCCAGCCACATCACTCCTTTATTCTATCCACAAACTGCTAATGACACAGATGAGTTCTTTTTCGGTGTCTTACCTTTTACTTTCAGAATGACATGCTGAATCAACAAAATAAATCTACATAGGCCTTAAAATCAGATAAACCTGCCTCAATAAAGGTCAACTATTATAGTTATAATGTATCTCTTAACATGTCCCTCATTCGGTTTTCTCATGTGTAAAATGGAGATACATATCAGCCAGCTTTTATCACTATAACAAATACCTGAGATCATTAACTCATAAACAGAAAAGGCTCACAGTTTTGGAGGTGTCAGACCATGTGCTCTGTCAATTGGCCCTATTGCATTTGGGCCTGCGGCAAGGCAACATTATAGTGGGGAGCACACAGCCCCACTCTCCCTATCAAGGGCACACCCCCAGTGAAGATTTTTCATTGGACCCTACCTTGTAAAGATTCTACCACCTCCCAATAGCACTCTCCTGGGACTAAGTCTTTAATACAGTGGTCTTTCAGAGACGCTCCAGATCCAAATTTTAGCAGTATAATATTGGTCATTATTTGAGTCAAGGATAAAGTCATGAGAATAATCAGATGATGGAGATCATGATGATATTGGTGGTATTAAAAGAGAAAAATCACAAAGCCACAACACTTATAATACCCATGTGTTTATTGAAGTCAAACATATTATAGCTCCATAATTACTGTCATAAATATGAATATTAGCCTTATATACTCAGTAACATTTCAAATAAAGTTTCTATAAATAAATCCATATTAATAAAATGGCATAAATAAAATGCATTCTTATAATAATAAATAAATTTATAAATATAAAGTATTGATTATGGAAATGCAATTATTTAGAATTTTTTCTAAAGGAATGAGAAGAAATCTTTTTTTGGAAATAGACAATTAATTAAATTTTTTTTCTCTTGTATAAAACACCAGTTATAACAAAATGTTATCAAATAAATCTGTATGCGTGCAAGGTCTACCTCTGGTCTTCTGACAAAAAAAAAAAATTGAGCTAAGCAGGGTTTCATGTGGAATTCACCAACAATGGTAGAATTTGGCTTCCCATTTTCCTTTTAGTAAAAAAGTTCCTTTAGAAATCTTATTGTTATTTTTAGCAGGCAAGCTATTCATTTTCCAATTTTACTCCATCAGACGCAGGCATTTTTCAAATAGAAAAATAGCAAATTCAGTTCTCCAATTACTTTGATCACTCCGCTCTCTCCAAGCTGTGAAAATAAGAACACAAATGTATTTAAGCATTTTTGCCATGTTTCCTAAAGAGGAACTAGTTAAAGGCATATAGAGTGATTAGATTGCTAGAAACAGAAACCAGGATTTAGCCTTTTGAAAATGATAATATTAACCTTTTAGCCTGAGTATAATATGATTTGCCAAAGACCTTAAAATGATGGCTATCTGAACTGAGAAGGCACCAATAGCTAACCATCTCATTCATGTCCCCCTAATGAAACTATTGATGGATATGGTAATTAGTTTGATTGAATCTTTTACAATATACAGGTAGATCAAAATATCACATTGTAACTCATAAGTTACACAACAATTATTTGTCAATTAAAAATAAATAAATTAAAATGCTAATGAGGGTCAGGGAATGCTGGGCAGAGGGCTGTATGGCTCCTAACCAGACTAAGCACATTGAAGCCACAGTGGGATCTAGGAACCCGAGTTCTGTCCATCATGGCTTGACCTGCCTGCCACATGGCCTCCAACTCTCTGTGAGCAATCAGTTACAACTCAGCTCAAACAGCCTCGAATCAAAACCACATGTGTACCAACAAGCACTTGGGCTTTCTGTTCCCTCTTCTTGACAAAAGGGGTCATAATTCAGCACATGTGAGGCACTGAGTTCGATCCTCAACACCACATAAAAATAAATAATATAAATAAAGTAAAGATATTGTGTCCATCTTTAAAAAAATATCTTTTTGGAAAAAATCAGATTTTCATTTACGTGGGGAAAATATCAATTATATTATTTCCAATTGCCTTAATAAATAAAAAGCCAGATATATAGATGTTAACATCATTTCAAGTAGAAGACAGATGAGGCTTTCAAGCTCAATGGGAAAGAAAATCCAAGTTCAAGTCCAAAGCCTCCTCCTCTGAAATTTAAATTTGTTCCAGATTATTTGAAGAAAAATCTTGTCATCATGGTCTTCTATACTTTGTTCTCCTTTATCTTCCTGATTTCTTACCCCCTGCTAGTTTTCCATATTTTGTTTGACATAATACTTTTTTATATCTCAAAGACTCCCAACCAAGACCATTAAGAATTTCGTGGCTTATCTTGACCTGCTATCTGCCCTTTGTGCTACCACGGTCCGCTCTCTGCTTTCCCCTCCACTCACGACTGCCCTCCCATTTCAGATAGCTCTGATCAGTTTTTCCTCCTGTTGAACTCTCTCTAAATAACATTTTCTCTCTTGCCTATGTGCTTTCTGAAGCTACAGGGAGAAAAAAGCATCATCACTTTTCCACATGGCAACCCATTGTAAAAATGAAAGTTGGTTCTCCCCACATGGATTAAAGGATTTCAAAAAATCCTTTGTTTTCTTATACAGATCTCACCTCCCATGTGATTTCTCTCTCACACACACCTCACTTTTCTAAAGACCACAAAGCAATCTGACATCAGGGGTTTTAAAAATGAGAATCACAAAGCACGTGTTCTCTGTGGCATGCTAACATTCAGCCCTACAAGTCTAGGTAACAGCTCTATAACAAGAGATTCCAGCTTCACAGCGAAAAACTACAAAGCTTTCAGTAATCAAAGGAATGCAAACAGTCATGCTTGATAAATTATGCTTAGGAAGAAATTTCTTCTAAAAAATAATTATGATAGAAAAGGGGGGAATTGAGGCTAAGTGAGTTACTGAAAATTTCATCAACTAGAGCCTTCCTGTGTCTGAGTATTCAGGTACACCTGCTTGCAAAAAGCATTCACTTTCACTGCCACCAATCATTCCTCTGGTTTGGGGCTGAGTCATATTTGCTAGTCTGAGCCTTCCACTATTGTTCCTCAAATAGGCCACATAATTATTTACCATAGAAATATACACTAACTCACAGTAGACAGATACTTAATAGGGGTTTGTTAAGGAAATGAACACTTCCATTTCATTATAATAGATCCATGACTAATATTCTCACTCTATTTGAAACCATCAACAGTGATTGGACACAGTATTATGATAATTAAACATAATTTTCAATGATCCCTGAACTCCATCCTAGATGTAATTTTGTTATTGTTCTAGGTTGATTTTTTCCCAAGTGTCACAGCATCAAATCAATGGCTTACAAAAATCACTTCAAATAAATTTTGACACTTTTCTGGGTTACAGAAAGCAATCCTTCATATTGTGAGTCAATAGGACTCTAACAGAATAATACTAAAACTAGTACCTATGGCTGCTGAATAGGTGCTGACCTGAGAGCAGAATAAGGATACCTGCATTCCAACTTGGTTCTGCCACTGGCCATAAGACTATCTGACCTAAGTTCCCTGATTGGTTTCATAATTTGCTTCCCTGATAAGCTTCATGATTTGAAAAATTTGGAAATTGATTTATAGATGCAGACATGTATCTATATACTCATGCACCTAAGTTATCAACTCGATCATAGGAATATCGAGTAAAATATCACAAGGAGGGAAAGAAGAAAAACAACATTTATCTCTCCTATTAAATGACTTAGTATGAATATTTATCAATAATACCTTTTCCACTGTGTCCTTCAGGTTTTGCACATTCTTCTGGATATGCCGGTCGTCACCCTTGATATGCTACAAAATGAAACCAAGAGTAAATATTTTATCTTTGTTTTGCGGAAGCTTTACGAACCTCAATGCCCTTCCAAGCCATGTGACAATTAATTCACCTGGAATGGAAGCTCTGGGTAATTTTACCCACAATGACCTAGATTTCACCAGTGACCTAGATTTTATGAGCTCTTGAATTGTCTTGGACACCAAAATCCAGACACTTCCCTTACAGAGGACCTCTTTTCATTGTCAGGAAATCCTTTGGGGGTTTAAGTTTGTGGAAAAAATGGAGTGGTTTATGCCAATTCTGACAGGAATCAAACTTTAACTGCACCTCATCAAAACTGTGTGCTCAGAACAACATATGAAACATCTTATGTGAACAGTAGGAACTCCTCACTTAACAGCAGATACCTTTCGCTCTGCCCACTCCTCTCCAACATGTCTCATAGTTTTAAATTTGCATCAAGTTCTCACACTTCTGATTTTGTCATGATATCAAGAAGGGAGCAGCCCTTGCTTACCCACCACAATTAAGGCTTCCCAGGTCCCTCTTTCTCTTCCCACTTTCTCTCTTCCCATTCCCTCCATCTAGTAACTTGTACTCAGTGGATCTATTTCCACATATAGGTGTTTTTCTTCCACCTCCCAACATCTTTCTCACCACATATAATCTGAGTTGTTTTCTTTCCACAGAAAAACAAATGAGGCTTCTATACACTTTACTACCAGATTCCAAGCACCACTGTAAACTAAAAATGTGACTCAATTAAAGCAAAAGCTAACCCTCTGCAATTCCAAATGATTCCTGATGACCATGGTGCCGAGGCAGTAAGCCCAGGGATCAGGAAGGAGAGAGGGCTGGTGGGGAGCAGGCTCTCAGTGGTAGAAGGAGGGAAGGAGGTGGCCAGGAGTAGGTGGAGGTAAGCTAAGGCAGGGACTTACACAGAGTCTGAGATTGTTGTTGAGACCTTTCAGGAAGGACACCACGTCTTGAAGGTAGGGGAGGGCTCTATCTGAGTTGGGGAGCAGCACTTCTTCCAGGGTGAAGTTCAGCACTTGCTTCATCACATAGCAGCGCTCTTTCATCTGCAGGTGGAAAAGACACAGTAGGGATCATGTGAGGAGGCAACCAGAAGACCCATCCACCAGCTAACCACCAATGGGCCCCAGACTCTGCTCATCATAACCATAACTTACACTGACTCCTTGGTAGAGTCTGTCATCAATGAGACGGACGTCTGTGTTGTTATCTGCAAAGCTGGCCTGGAAGAGAAGAAAGACTGAGTGTCGGGACATGGAAGATATACAAAAAAGGTCTGTAAGTGGAGATGTACACCTTGCCCTATCCCCAGAGCATATATAAAAACTGAAGATAGATGTATACATGAGCTTTGAATAATGCACAAAGGAGTAAAGGAAAAACTTAATAATCAGATGGGCTACAAAGCAACTCCTCCTTGGATAAAACTCAAAGTATGTATCCTAAGGCCAAAATGGAAGGAAGGAGTTCTGGTAAAAATTAAATCTTCAAATAGTCTCCAAAGAGACATACAAGGTTATCTATAGGGATAAATGATGAATTCCTAAAGATCTCAGAAATGCTCAAATAAAATGTTCAGAACGATGTGGAATAATGACGTGGTCATATTGGGTGTATGCCTGAATATATGTAACCATGAATCCCACTATTGTGCATAATCATAATGCTCCAATAAAAATATGAGGGGAAGAGAAATTAAAAGAAAGAAAGAAAGAAATACTAAAAAAGGGAAACTTTAAGAACTATTTGGGTCCCAAGGAGATACGATGAGAAAGACAGCAAGGTTGAGATGAGTACCTCCTCAGCCAGTAGGAAGGTGCGGTTGATGATGAACGGCCCCTGGAAGCTGGACTTGTGGAGCCCACAGTGGTCATTGATGGGCACCGCTGCTCCGCCCTGCACTGCCAAAGCAATGAGAAGGAGGCAGCTGGCAGCCAAGGTCCCCACAAGGGAAGAGCTCACAGATTTCTGCAGGGCAGCCATTGCTGATAACTTGAGTAGCGACTAGGAAAGGAGAACCTGGTGTGAGGCGAAGAGGAGGCAAAGACAGCATGAGGGAAACAAATTAGTCCAGAAGTATCACACCTAACAGACCAATTGTATCAGCTTGCTGAAACACTTACCTGTTTCGGAGATTCTGCTTATGATGGAACAGGTAGAAGCTATTGCTTTTATAGCCCCTGGACATCATTTTTTTTTTTTTTTTGATTGTGAAAAGTATGACATCAGCAATTATCTAATTTCCAGCTCTGTCTTCTGAGAACTACCTAACCACTATAGGAGCCCACAAAACGCTACCTCCTATCCTTCCCACCTTGAGATGTGAGTGTTTCCCTAAAACGTCACTATTGGGGCTTTTACAGATGAATCCCAGAAGTTTTCTAAACCCTATATGTCTTTCAAAGAAAAAAAATGCTTTGTAGATTCCAGGTTTAGTATAATACTCTTTGATCTCCTATAGTAACTGAGTAAGCATTTTGGTTACAGACTCATTTTCCTACCAGCTTCATAGATTCTTATCTTTTTAGAAGTGACCAGAAATAAAGGACCCATATCCTATATCCGCTACATCAAGTAAGTAATAATGACAACTTGGATATCATTCCAATTTTTAAAATAATTTCATATCATTTTTAGAAAATAAATGCTGAATTCTAAGCTAGACTTATGTTTTTCAAATAACAGTGTTAGCTAATCTAATCAGTGTTTCCTTTTTTCACTCTTGTACTATTTTAAAGTGGTTAAAACAATTTTGATAGATGAAAATATAAAATTTTTTACTCATGGCCTATGACCAATATCAATTTAAGCTTGGAAAACTAATACTGAACAATCTAATCATTTTCTTTACATGTATTCTTAATAAAAAATATATAGAGAGAGTAATTCATCTTGAAATTCTATCTATGCAAGTCTCAAAATCTATTTCCAAGTAATCTTAGAATAACTCTTACTTATATAGATAAATAACTGAAGAAGAGAAATCAAAGTGATTGCATGTTAATTTTACATTATTAAAAATTTGCTGAATTCTAAATAACACCTAAAAACTAGACTGGCAACTCTGCCAAGGAGTGGGAGCAGGGAGCAAGTACCACTATCAAAATGAAAGTTCTACTGCTAAGGGAAGGAATATGAATGAATTCATGAAAATTAGTTGGATCCAATTGTTCTTCTCACAACTAATTAAGATTAGGAGTGAATGGAAATGGAAAGGGGGATTCAAAGTATTGTAAAATCTTGACCATTTTAGAGATGGCACACACCTAAGAGAGGTGACAAAGTGAAGGGCCAAAACAGCACCGGATCCTGAACACTTAGGAAGGTGGCCTTAGGAGAAAGATCAAAAAGGGACGATGAGACTAAGTAGAGCCACATGATCCCACTTTAAACATGGACTCTAAAACCTCTAACTCGATGGTTGGCAGGGCCTGGGGGCAGAAGATTTGTATCCTATGTTAATCAAAGGATATAAAATTTCACTTAGAAGGAAGAATATACTCAAAAGATCTATTGTACATCCTGGTGACTATAGTTAATAACAATACATTGTATATTTTTAAATTGTTCAAAGTGTAGATTTTTATTTAGTTGTAGATGGACATAATACCTTTATTTAATTTATTTATTATTTGGTGCTGAGGATTGAACCCAGTGTCTCACACGTACTAGGTAAGTGCTCTACCACTGAGCTACAACCTGGCCCTCAAAGCATAGATTTTAAGTGTTCTCACTCATACAAACACACACACATCACACACACACACACACACACACACACACACATACTATATATATATATATATATACACACACACACAGGAAATAAATATATTAATTATTAATTAGCTCTATTTAGCCATCCCACCATGTATATACATAGCAAAATATCATGTTATACAACATATGCATATATATACATCATATTTATTTACCTGCCAATTAAAAATAAAATCATTTTTTCTAAATTAAAAAAAAAAAGAAATATAGACCTGTACCAAATGTTTTCTTGGGGTTGTTCATAAGCCCAAGAAAAAATGAGGAGATTCTTTCTTACCCAATTTCTTATTGTATGCACTATGATCATTTTTGCCCAGAGCTCTATATAATAATATTAGCACTAGATTCAAACTATTTTGTGGATTAAATAGGCATATGTTGGTTTGTCTGTGAAACTAACAAACATACATAACTTTATTCCCATGGGAAAATAAATTTTTGCATCATTGATTTGTATGTTTTGAGAGAAGTCTCTAATGTTTGAAAAGCCAACTCTCGCATCAGTGCTACATGCATATGAAAGATGTGGTAAAGCATATGGAAGGAATAAGTAGATCTACAAATTTATATAATTTTCTGCCCTTGGGAACATGAAAGTAATTCAGGGATTGCCTTTGCAGCACATCCAAAGTTGGTATTTGAACTGATCCTACTTACTAACTTCTTTAGTGTTCCCAAAGAGAGATAAATAGCTATGAAACAAAAATAAAATGCCAGCAATTTACACAGCAGTCTTAAAATGCTGCAATATGTCTCTCATTTATTAAGTGCCCCAATGGATCACTTATTAATACGATAGAATTAATAAAGCCAAGACCTTAGGTTTTTGTGAGCTGGGCTAAAACTCACTAAAGTGATGAAAATCTGCTCTGGGACTGTTTGTGGATTTCTGAACAGTTATAGCAGGAGTCTCAAAAGTATTTGCTGTCAGGAGAGAGTGTCAATGTAACACAGCTGCTCCTGAAAATACAACTGAAGACGTGTGCTAAAAACCTTTAGATCACAACAGGCCTCCTCTCAGTTGTCTCCTTGTGAATTTTCAAGTCCCTTCTACAGCCACCCCAGATAAAGGGCCACCCCAGCACTCCACTGTCAAGCTCCCCATAGATGGTCCCCAGGGTTGATGTTAGATATATGGAGCAATTTAAATAGTCTGATATTTTGAACAACCAATAATAAAAATTAAAAATAAATAAATAAATAGTCTGATACCAGGAAGGGCTAACAAGAATCCCCAACCAAAAGGCTGGCTTTTGCTACCTCGTTCACTGTCCCATCCCTAGCACCTAGATCAGTGCCTGGCATAGAGTGGAGGATAAATAAGTTTTTGTTGACTGAGTGAATAAAACTTCTTCACAAATCATTGGCTGATGCTGTGAAATTCACAATCGAAAATGTATTCTTTAAAATACGAATCTCTGTAGAAGAAGGAAGGCGGAAGGCTTTTGTTAGCTCAGATAAAAAAGGTTTGTATTCACATTTCTCAGTCTAATGAAAGTGATCACTGCTCCATACAAGTTTCTGTGTGTGCGCATGCGCATGCGCGTGCATCCCTGTCCTCATCTGTGTCCTTGCCTCGCTGCCACTCACTCCCTCGCCACCATCTCTACCCCTGCCATAGGCCACAGCTGTACTCTGTATATGTTTGATACGTATTTCTGAATATACATGCACCTTGTAAAACATGGAGTATTATTTAGTGTGTATAGGTATTTGATTTTATAGGGATGGTTCTCTTACTCTTTCACTCAGCATTATGGTCTTGCAACTGTCTACATCACCATGTGCAGCCCCTGTTTCCAACTGGTATTCCAGAGTGTGTATCCACACATTTTATTTACTCATTTCTCCATTGATGGCCCCCTAAATTGCCTCTGGTTTCTCAGTAAATAGACATCACAGCACCAAGAAACCTCATCCACATCATTTCAATGATTTTTTGTGAAATATATATTTTTGGAATATTTACCCAAGAGTAGAACCACTGGACTATAAGGACAAGTGTATTAACTTTTACTAACTACTGCCAGACTGCTCTCTACAAAGACTGTACGAATTTATTTTCTCACGTAGGTGAATAAAGCTTCCTTTGCCAGACTTACTCTTATCCAACTTTGACTCTGCCAACCTTTGGAGGATTATCTCATTGTTTTAATTGACATTATTCTTCATACACTTTCAGCCACTTGGAGTTTCCCTTTTATAACTTCACTACTTATATTAGTTGTCCATTCTTCTAGTGGGCTTTGGACTTTTGTTCTTGTTGATTTGTAAGCGTTCCCTGTATATTTTAGATATCACTCCCTTTTTGATGGCAAGCATAGAAAATTCTTCTCTCTTATTATAGTGTATCCATTACCTTTGTCTATTAGGTTTTTGTTGAACAGAAAACTTAATTTGAATGTCATCTAAGACATTATCTTTCATTATATGAAAGACTTCTCTTATACCCTTTGATAGTGTTTCAAAATTTCCTTCCTAGTATTTTTTGTATTAGTTTTCATTCCTAGTTACTTCTTGGATGAAGTAAGGTGTTAACCTGCTACTAGTCTCTCTCACCTTTATCTTGGATAAAGAAAACATTGGGATATTCATCTCCGGAGAACATGAAGAACAAATGCTTCTTTTTAGAGTCAGTGGACAGGAGGAGCTAGAGCTACCAGCAAAGAACGAAAGCTAAAGATGGAGCTTCCAAACTTAAATTTCCCTTGCTCCTACCACTCCCACCAAGACTTGCCAACCATGGCCACTTTTTCCTTCTTCCTGAGGTCTAGATCTTCCCAATCAGTATTTGTAACTCATCTTAAAAGGGAGACTCTACCTATAGAAATATGTCACAACATAAATGAGTATATTACCCTCACTAGGAGTACCAAGTACCAGAATCAATTTTAAAGATGGAAAGAAGCCACATTATACAAATTCCTCACTTCTCTAAACAAACAGAATTTGATATTGCCTTCTTTTTTATATACCTTTATTTTTTATTTATTTATTTTTATGTGGTGCTGAGGATCAAACCCAGTGCCTCACACATGCGAGGCAAGCGCTCTGCCACTGAGTCACATCCCCAGCCCCTGACATTGCCTTCTTAATGTCTGCCCTCTACAGGTATTTCAAAAGTCCATACAGGTAAAGTGGTACAGGCCACCATGTTTGAGGCCATCCTCAGCAATTTAATGAAGCCCTAAGCAACTTAGCAA